GTATTACATCCATTTTGGGGTCCTTGGGTACAAATAAAACCACAGATAAACTGTGAGACCAAGGATACACACAGGGAATAAAACCAAGGCAAAGTTTTGTTGTGGGCTGTTGATGTTTCCAGCAAAGAGCTGATGGAGACCATCAAGGCTTGTGTGAAATGCTGAAAGAGAGAAGAGTTGGAGTGTGCTGGATATTTTTGTATCCAGTATTACGGTTTGGGTCATGCTGTTACACTACATTAATTATATTAATACTGCTTAGAAACTCTCTTGCTGTGAAACTTCTATTACTGGTGTGTTCGGTAGCTGATGATTGGGCTGATTTACATCTGGCTGCTCATTTCCTGGTGCTAATGGAGGGTGGGAGGTGGAGGCATTTTTTACAGCCATTTACTTTTCATCTCATGGCTAATTGATCCCGTTCCACCACTTAACAGCTCTGTGAAACCTTCACCAGGACAAGGTATTTCTGTTTTGGGGGTTGCCTGTCTGAAAAAAGAGCTTGGAAACATGACTTACAGGGCAAACTCAAACTCATTTGGACACTTAAGATTCAGCTGGACAGGGTGCTGGGCCATCTTGTCTAGACCATGCTCTTGCCAAGAAAGGTTGGACCAGATGATCCTTGAGGTCCTTTCCAACCTGATATTCTGTGATTCTATGATTTATTTGGTCGTGTTGCTGTTAACTCTTGTGTTGAGCAGTCTTTTACATCAAGCTGATATTGATGGGAAGGATTTAACTTCATCATTAAACACCACACAGTCGCTTGGAACAAGTTATATCCAAAAAGGAGTTTCTAGTCCTTAAAACCAGTGAAACTTTCCTGTAGAGCAAGGGATTATTCTTGGCCGAACAGCTCTTGATGGTGAAACCCAGTGTTGATGCAGTTTGCTCAGTTGGCTTGGCTGGCGAGTAGGGCTGGTGGGCCAAATTTAACCCATTGTAGCACTTGCAAATGGTCTATATCTCAATGACCTTGAAAATGACCCTTTAAGACAATAGTGGCCTGAGCTGCTTGAGCCAAGGGTGCTTTGGAGGGCGACGTGTCCTTACCAAAAGTCATTTGTTGGCCATTGAGGCCACATGGTGCAGTTGGGTTCTTTGTTCGTGGAAAAATGAAAGTTGCAGCAGCGATGGTGGGGTTTGGCTGGGTAATGGTTGAGAATAAAATGGGGGAGAAGCAAGAAGGGTGGATGGAGCAATCGTGGTTACACAGCAGCATTCCTCCCCAACGCGGTTCATCCAGAGAGCAAGCATTTTTGCACGAACCATAAATGTTGCAGAGCAGATCTTTGCAAAGCCTCATCTTACGGTTCTCTCTAAGGGGAAATGCAATCCCAGATACTGATCTGCACGTGGAAGAGCATCGCAGCGTACGGGCAGGGACCGTCTGTACTCCATACATGCGGGAGGGAGAGTGGTGGAGAAGTGTGGCTTGGGCTTTGGAAGAAGCAGGGAACATGGGGGAGGTTTTTTTGGTTGCACCAGGGTATTATTTCTCGGAGATTAAGACGATATCATAACTATCTCCCTTCTTGGATTGCAAACAAGATGCGTACACGGCGTGTCCATGGGGACCAGAGCAGCTCCTCAGCCGGGCAGTGCTCCCCGGGGCGATGTGGGGCCGATGCAGCTGAGCGTGGGGAGGAGGATGGGGGTGACTGGGGCTCTCCAGGAGCGGTCGCGGTCCGTCTGTCCAGAAGACACAAATGTAGGCAGATATTATGTCTTAAGGCATTAATTTTAATGAACATCTGTGTAAATGAGATGCAAATTAGGCGTGGCCCCAGGGCTCCAGGCACATTGCCAATGAAGCCCTGACAAAGGTGGGCACTTCTGGATTCATTGTGTCCAGATTTTAATAAAGAAGATATATTGAAGGCTCTGATGGAGGCCATGAACAGATGACTTTCAAAGCAGCTAATACTCGAAGCTTCCCATATATTTTTCTTTTCCTTCCTGCAGACACCCCTCAAACTTGCCCCAAAAGGCCACAACCTACAACAAACTCTTAATTTTTGGAAAACTGCCACCCGTGCATTTCCTCTCTCCCCCCGCCAGCTCCTTTCCCAGGTCACCGGGGGACTAATCCTGGCAATGGGATGGACGAGTCCTCTCCCAGTGGAAGTGCTTCTCCTGGCTGGGTTTTTTGGAGGTGGGAGGCTGGGAAGCAGCTGTCGGATCTTGCTTGGGGGGGACCTTTGTTTGCAGGAGGTGTTTTGGTTCAGTAAGTGGGTGCACTGGTGGAGATGGCTCCACTGAGGGGCTGAGCCCACGCCAGGTTCAGAAGCCAGGACAACAATGCGGGGTAGACCTGACCTTCAGAGGGTGGGGGAAACTAGGTAGGGACTTGTTCAGAGCAGCACGTTGTTAGAAAATTGTAAGAAACCCATCTGGAAGAGACTTTAAGGGGTCATCTAGTTTCGCCCCTAGTTTTGTGGTGAGATCAAGTGCAGCTGAAAGGCATTTCTGTGGTTTGGAGTCTGTGCTTATATGGACATCCTGATGGATCGCTTCAGATATAGCTCTGCTGCAGAAGAAATAGCTTGGGTTTAGCTTATGTTAAGCTGTCAGAGCAAAAAGACCTCATCCTTAACTCCTGGTCTTTGGCATGAGTTTAACCCAAGTGACTGTCTTTCCATTGCTGCCTCTCTGAGGAGCACTTTTTTTTGTGTAAAAGAATACTAAAAGCAGGAAAAAAAAACCTTTCAGTACCGTGTCTCCACAAGCATCACACAGCTGAGTTGGGCTCCTCAGTGTGAGGGACCAGCGAGAGCTCCTGGTAGGAGCTTTCAGGCTGGGATATTTCTTCCCCCTCAGCAGCTCAGGTTTCTCAGAGCTTACACTGATATTAAATTTTAATGACTGGAATCGAATGAGCAACAGTTGAAATGTTACTAAACATAAAAGTTATGTTGATTCAGTTTAGCAAACAGCAGAATTCCCCAGGGAAGTGATTCCCTGGAGATGAAGGGTCACACAAAGGCGTAGGGGTTTTCTCCATCATGTGTTCTCCAGCATCCTGAGCTGAAAGACCCCATGTTACAACCCTTCCTCTCCCAAAGACTGGGAAGCTAATGGCTGTGCTTCGGGTAAAGCTTTTGCCATTGGGTGCAAAGGGCTGATCTTCCTTTACACACCCGAGAAGCAGAGGTGAGGTTTGCTGGGTTGGAGTGGTGGTGCCAGGAAGCCCCAGGCATGGGCTGGTCCTGTCTGGCCAAAGAACATCCATCAGCCAGGGCCCTGAAGAGCTGATGGAATCAAATTCTTTGGTGTTTTTTTGGGAAGGCATCTGTGCTGGGGTAGCTTGGCCTCCTGACTAAGCGAGCTTAAGCCTGGTTTTTGTTTATTTTATCTTTTAGACAGTGGGTTTTGAACTTGGGTTTCAAAGCCTGGCTGGTACTTAGCGTTGTTGTTTTTGGACAAACTCTTAACGTTGACACATTTCACCTACAAAGCAGAGTGTAATGCTCAGCCCTGGGTCAAAGGTGCTAGCTGAGATGTTTTTGGCTTGCTGCGATACAGAGCGATGCTGGGGAGGGGAAGGATGCTGCTGCCTCCCCAGTCACATCGTGCCAGCCTGGCTTGGCTTTGCTTTGCTGGGGACAGTTTCCTCCCCGTAACAAAGATGAACAACCTGATCTGGTTGAAGATGTTCCTGCTCACTGCAGAGGGGTTGGACTAGATGACTTTTAAATGTCCCTTCCAACCTAAACCATTCTATGGTGAGAGCAGGAACGGGGCAGCCTGCCTTCCTTCAGAGCTGTGCTCAATGGTCAGTGGTGATTTCTACACAAATCTGGAGAACTTGACCCAAAAATTAAACCCCAGAAAAAACATCAAACTTGACATAACCCAAATTCAAATCAGTGCAGATAAAGTTGGCTGAAGGGGAAGACACGTGGTGATGCCTCCGTGCGTGGCTGGACCTCCATCGCCTTGTTGGCCCCCTTGCCATGCCACGCCGGCCGCCCCCATGGCACGCCAGCTGCGCTTCGCCCCATGACTCCTGGCAGCGCTGCTTAATGGCTTCG